GCCCCAGTGGTGGACCCCCCCCTGCCCTCCGTCACGTCCCCCTGCGAGGACGTAACTCTGGCGTAGATGTTCCGACACTGGCAGTCTCTTCTTTTGAGGCCAGGAAACGCCAGAGTTCGCAGGTGGGCTTTCGGATTACGTACATGTCCCCAAATATCCCCTTCGTAGTCCCCCAAAGGCCTCCTAACGTGAGACCCATCCTTCCACGCGTACAGTTGCACTATTGCAGTCAACAAACCGCTCCAGGGCACGATTCGGCGTTGTTTTTGTGAAGGAGTCCGCCAGATTGTCCTCTCCATTGATCCACCTCACTTCCTGGAGTTCTCTGCGCTCGTAGGACTGGCGCAGTGCCATGATATCGATCATCAACCGCTTTTCCTTCGTAGTCCCGAGTTTCACAAGACATTCGTACAGTGAGTAAGAATCTGTACAGACGATGGTTGGGATGGCAGGAAGGTTCAGGTGGGCAGTGATCTGGCGTAATGTTGAAGCCAGGGCGTAAGCCATATCCACGCCGGCCACCATTCCGTAAACCTCGGAAGCTAGGACGCTGCGGGTAACCCTCTTGCTCTTGGTGCTGCTGAAGTGGATGAGGTTCCCTGTAATGGAGAACTCGTGGCGATCGTTGATCTCGTCTTCGTTGGCCAGGATGATCGCAAACCCGAGCTGGGAGGTGAAATCTCTGTTGTTGGCAAAAGAGCCGTCAACGAAGACGTACAGTCTTGCAGTCTCCAGGTTCAGGGGTAAGAACGTGAGTCCCCTGTCCTGTGAGTCCATCTGCCACTGGATCCTTCGGTTAAGAGTCTTGATATCGTCAGGGGTCGGTTCTTGGTGTTGGGCTGCGCTGGAGAGATCAAAGCAGGCCTCGGGTTGGCAAATTGAAGCGATGTACGCGCCGCGAGCCCGTTGCTGAACGTACTGTTGTTTGGCGTCTGGCGCGTTGGCGTCGATCAATTGCAGCTTCTGGGCTTGACCCTTCTGCCGCAGGGTGATTGAACCGTTTTTGTTGAGTGTAACGATGCCGCCGTTGAAAACCAGGGGTTCCGCGGTGGTGAGAAATTGCTTGTCTTTGGCGCTGAATGACGCCTCCTTCAGTTGATCGTTCTCGCGTTGTGAGAACGCCTCTGTTGACAGACCCAGAGTATCGTCTGTTTGCATCCCCACGCAGGCAAATTCCGGGTTCTCGGGGGAGGAGATCAACAGGCAGGGGTCGTACGTAGAGGTTGCCATCTGGAGCCTCTTCAAATGGTGGTTGTGGTATGTGACCCACCAATAGGTTCCTGCCTCTGCCAGCCCGTACAACGGCTTGATCACGCGCATCACGGTTCCCTCGGGGTATAAGTGCCTGATCTGTTGGGGCAAAAATGCCAAAATCTTGCGCTGGAGTGCCTTTTCCGACTGCACGTAGGCTTGCGTAATATCGCGCAGCCAAAGGAGACAACCCTGTCTCTGAAGTGACGGCGCGATGGCGAGGATCAGGCGTTGGCTTGCGCGTTGGATTGTTGGCGACTGCGTGAGGATGGCTTCCTTTCCTGCGTCTCCGAAGCCTTGGACCACAAGCCTCGATTTCTCATAGGGCTTGTCCGTTGTCTTGCCCTTAATTTCGTTTACGATCCTTGACTTAAAGATCTCTGCGTCGCCGTGTAAGTCCTCGTCGTATTTGACAAATTCGAAGACGCCTCGGGTAATAAGGCTCTCGATCTCTTGTTTAGAAGACTCCTCAAAAGGTTCCCCGGGTGTAGTGACCTTGCCATCGGCGCGCAACTGGACTGCGAGTGCGGCGTCTGCTTGTTCCTTCGTTGACAAGAAAATCTCGAAGATTTCGTCCTCTCGAACATCGCTCTCCTGGAGGAATGCGTGGGCGAAGTGGGTTCTGCGTGGTCGAGTGTTCCTGTGCGGTCCGTCGTCTGGGAGTTCGTCTTCGTCCCCAGGGAAGGGCGCATGAGTGGCCACAATTATCGAATCGAGGATTGGCTCTTCTTCGATGGCGTTTCCAGGAGGGGTCGTGCTCCTTGGTTGAGAGTCCGGAACTTCAGGTGCTGGTTTCTCTGCGGTGTCTTTCTGGTTCGCAGGGTCGTCCTGTTGAGCAGGGTCCTCGTAGTACGGCTTGACCACCGTAGAGCGGAACTTCTGTGCGCCGCGGCTTGTTTCCACGATGCAGTCTTCGTCGTGGACACCGATTAATGTGAAAGGTCCTTCCCATCGGCGGCTTTTCTCGCGCCACACTCTCACACGTGACTGCAGTGGAAGGGTCGTGGTGCGTAAGGTGTCCGGACCATTGCGTGTGGTGCGGGCCTCCCGGACCTTGCGTTCAGCATGGAGCCTGCGGACGGCGTCTGTGGCTTTCTTGATCGCCTGGGCGCGTTGTTGTAGCGTTGGCGATGGCGCAGAGTTGTGTGTCATCCTTGGGTAGGCGCCAAATACCAACAGAGTTGGCACAAGTCCGTTGGGACCTGCAGTGTCGTTCACAGCCTTGACAGCCATTTGCAGAGACAGTTCTGGGCTTGCAGAGGGGTCCTCTTTGCGTAGGATTTCGTACGCACGTCGTACAGGTGCATGGTACCGTTCTACCTTGCCGATGCTGTTATGGGCTTCGATCGGGACTTCCTTGACGGTAATCGCCATCTCCTTGGCGTTCTGGCGGAACTCTGTGGAAGCGAATTGCTTCCCTGCATCGGTAACGACGTAGTCAGGGGGTCCTTGGTACACGTCAATCCAGCAAAGGCGCAATGCTTCCCACACGTACTTTGTTGATACGTCTGGAAGGAAACGCGCGGCGTTGAAAGCTGTGGCCGCGTCGACGAGGTGTAGAACTGGTTTGTTGCCCTCCACGTAGAAGATATCCATGATGACCTCGTAGTTGAACTCGCAATCATCGTGAAGGGTGAATTTGAAGCGAGCTGGGCGTGCGGAGTGCATTTGGCAGTGGTGGCACACTTTGGCGATGAGCTCCAGGGCTTGGATCTCCACTGGGTGTCCTGCAGTCTTGAGGAGCTTGTAAAGGCGCGCAACAGAGGGGTGTCCGAATCGTCGATGTAGTCGCCGCAGTTCACCGTCGGTGAGATAACTGCACACCAGAGCTTCCTCCTGGGTTAGTTGAAGCCAGGGATGTCCCCATTTCCGTGTAACGGGAACCTCGACGTCTCCTCGTTGTAGGAGGTTCCTCAAGTTGTCGAACTTGATGCCGAGTCTGTCCATATCCCTGAGGCAAAGTAGGAAAGGGGTCTCCGTTTCCATCACGTGGAAATCGATCGTTCCCAGGGGTGTGGGCACTGTTGTTGTTCCCAGGGAGGCCTTAGGTGTCCCATAGCCGAATTTGACGATGGCTTCTCCGGCCCTTGTTGTGTCCAGGGTAGCTGAAGGGAGTTGACGTTGCAGGGCCTGGAATTGCGGTTGGCCGGCTGTTGAGAATTGTGCGGCTCCGGAGTCGGGCATGATACCCCTGAAAGTTGTTGCAGAATACCGGCCCTCGGCGGTGTAAGTCTCCGAGGGGTCCTGCTCTTGAAAGGGGTCTTCCTTCGTTAGGAAGTGGTGGGTGGCCGCGTTTGCCAGGAGTGTCGTAACCTGAATCGCATCTGCAGGTGCGGAATCGTTGAAGAAGGTGCTGTGGAATTTTCCTCTGTTGTCGATAGTATCGTCGTCGTGATCGTCGTATTTTTGGAAGAATTGGCTGACGGGGTTATCTTCGTAATCGGCTTCGAGTTCAGATCCCTCATGCCAGTAGATAAACTGGGCAAAGGCTGCTATTGACCCGTCGCGTGCGTCCTTGTCAGCCTTGAACCTTTCGTAGGACTTCTTCCTGTCTTCGATTGGGTGAGTTGTTGACCAGCAGCCGGGTTTGCCGCACACGAAGCACTTCCTCTCGGTGGGGGGTCGACTGAATTTGGAGTTGCTGAATCCTCCTCGGCGTGGTCCTCCTTGGTTGCGACCAAATCTAGATTCTCTGCCGGATCCTCTGTACGTCCTGTCCGTCCAGAACGTCTCCGAGTCAGTGGCGTCGGTGTTGAACTGTTGAGGTCCGGGATTTTCGGTGGTGATTCCAATCGCCGCTTGCAGCTGGTTGCGGACGCCTTCGAAGGTTGGCGCCGGGTTGAAGAGGGCCATCCTGGCCTCGGCAACACCACGGCATGCGTTCAAGAGTTGCATGCGCAGTGTATCCTCTGTCTGGCCAATTGCCGGTACTGCGCGTTGAATCAGGGCAAGCCTGTTGATCAGAAGTTCCAGGCACTCGGATTTGGACTTGTCGGGGTGCTCGGCCTGCATGTTGATTAATCTGGCGTCGCGCCATGCTGCCAGATACCGGTGCCGCTGCTCTTCGTTCTCGAAGTATCCTCTGATCTTGGCTACCATGGTATCGAAGTCCCGGGGGCCGCTGCAAAGCCAGTCGTAATAGTATCGTAAGGCTCGGTCCTTGAGCATGATCGGAAAAGCGTCACTGGCTTGCCATCTTGGAATTTGGATTCGATTACACAAATCTCGGAAAATCGCCATTTTTGTGTCGAGAATGTCGTAGTCTCCGCCGCCGTACTTCATGTCGTCGCTGTACAACTTGGCTAAATCTGCGAGGTGTTTAGCATTTCCTCGCGGTGCGTAGTACGGTTCCTCGGACGGGCGGGGCCAGGTCTGGGGGTCTTGTCTAGTTTCCGAGGTTGTTTCCCAATCTGCTTCCCGTTTCGGTGCCGTCTGGGGAATGGGGTTTTGTTGTCGTGGCGCCGGGATTGCTTGTGGGATTTGCTGAGAGGCCTGTGGTTGTGTCGGGATGGTCGCTAGGACCGGTGAGGCGGTTGCTGGGGCTGTCGGGGTCGTTGGCGTCAATTGGGAGAGATCCTGGATGCTTTGGATGAACTTGGGGTTTTCCAGTAACTCCTGGTGCATCGTACTGTGGACCCTCGCAGTGTTGATCTCTTCGATGGACCAGGTGCGGAAAGTCGTTCTCTTGGCGATGGCTTCGAACTTTGCTGGTAGGGGGGTGTTGGTATTGTCGACATACACGCCGTTGGTGCTCAGGAAGGCGCGGAGGTGCTTTCGGGTACGGTCGGGAACCATGTCCCATCGTTGGGCGGTCCATTCGTCGAATTCGTCCTTGAATGCGCCCCAGAGCTTTCGTCCTGCGTAGCTCGTAGAAGCCCAGAAAATTTCCATGAGGAAATAGATGTGGGAGTTCATCTGCTTGGGCGTGGGCTCCTCGATCTCGTCGATGGCCGCGAGGTCTCCCCAAGTGGAGTGATCCAAGAAGGACAGGATGTGCTGGGGGATTGGCGGTGTAAGCGGGTTCCCTCCGGTTTGGCTGTTCCCTGGCGTTGACGAGCCCGGGTCCAGTTCCTCTGGTGACGATGTTGTATGAGGCATTGTTACCTCTTTGGAAAGTGGATTTGATGTTTGGTTTTGCGGCGGTTGCCAGCAGCTCGCGAGGATCTTGGCGAGCGGGGAATGCGTGATGGAAGTTCCTTCAGTGCGTCCTGAGTCCGAACTGTAGGATTGAGCCTCTCGTGTTCCTTCATTTTGACTGAGTCCAAGTAAAGGTGTCGAAAATGCTCCTTAGCACGGTTTTGTTGAAGAAGTCACTACTCCGGTAGAACCTCTCCGACAATTCCGTCTCTTCTGGAAACCTTGCTGATCTGTGGCGGGAGCTGTCTAACAGTGGTATAATTAACCACTGATCAGTGTAGGGAATACCAGGTATCGCGATAGAGTTAGAAGCACAGGGCAAATCCCTTTTCTCTGGAGGGACGTGCTACATTCGTGGTTCAATTGGATCATGTATACTTCTATCTAGAAATGAGGGGGGCTCAGATTTTGCAGCCGGGGTTGTCGTCCCCGAGGTCCAGGACCACGTGACGACTGCCCCAGTGGTGGACCCCCCCCTGCCCTCCGTCACGTCCCCCTGCGAGGACGTAACTCTGGCGTAGATGTTCCGACATTGACCATCAGCAGGAGACGCTATTCCGGAACGAAACCCTAAGGAGGCACGACGGTCTCAGCAAGGCGAAGAGCTCACTGCTGATTCAAATCCGGACGGGAGCAATAGGCTTACGGGACTTCTTGTTTACACGGGGAGTCCCGGAGGTTCTGACTCCTGCCTGCGAGTGTGGCGAGGGACGAGAGACTGCCGAACACCTGGTAGTGTGGTGTTTGGCCCCACCGTTGACTCGAAGATGGGAGAGAACTGGAATTTGGACACGACGGGACTTTTACTCTGTTCTACACGGCATCAATCCCACGACTGCACGGCTTGCGAGGAGAGTTCTCGACTGGCTGATGGACTCGGGGAAGCTGCCGATGTACAACTTAGCCAGGAGGCTCGAGCTGGAAGCGGCGGCCTGAAGCGCCCCCGTTCGGAGGCCAGGAGGCCTCCTCTCTTTGTATATGTAGGCTCACTAAAACGCATCGCTCCTTGATTGTTGGTATGGGTTTTTCACCCGGCCCGGGAGGGCACGGTTTTCCTGTACACTAAATAGCTGAGGGTCCGGCACGCCCTAGGGCATAGCGGAGTATGAATAATAATAATATAGCCCTAGTTGTTGTGCTCATTTCTAACCGAAAATGTTGTTCAACAATCATATATGGTCAAGAGCCTTTCAACCAAACACTAGTTCCAGTACAAGAACACGGGCAACCTTGATGCCAATGACGCCTATATAAATAAACCAACCCCCAGGGTGTCAGCGGCTCTTTGGGCCAACCTGTGCTGCCCACAAAACCAAACCATAACTTGGACGGGGCCAACTAATCCATCTATCAACATGTCAGAACTGAGTGGCACAGAGCTAATAGCATCTCTACGAGACTTCAACTCGCTACCTACTGAACTTCTACGGGAAATCTGCAGCTACTTTTGTCCTCATTGTTTACGACAAGGAGACCCATGGCCCTTCAACGACCGACGAGACCACGGGGGGGACCCGAACAAAGAAGTAGAGTTGGGCTCGCGGAAATTGTCTACAGACCTGGTCAAAATCAGCTGTGTTAACAAGGCTCTACGCTCGGCATCAC